CGTCGCCGAAACGACTTGGTTACGCAACCTACTTTCTGAGTTGCTCTGCCCACTTTCGAAAGCCACGATTGTCTATTGTGACAACGTCAGTGCCGTCTACCTATCGAGCAATCCTATTCAACACTCTCGTACGAAACATGTGGAGATCGATATCCATTTTGTCCGAGACAAAGTTGCTTTGGGGCACGTTCGAGTCCTTCATGTCCCATCCGCCTACCAGTTTGCCGATATCTTCACGAAAGGACTCCCTACTCAACTGTTCCAACAGTTTGTCTCCAGTCTCCACGTCCTCTCCTTTCCCGTTTCGACTGCGGGGGTGTATTAACGTATCTTTATATATATTACGTATCTTTATTATATATATTACGTATACCTATTATTATTCTTATTTATTAGGTTACCTTGTGTATTAGGTTTCCTTGTATATTAGGTTACCTTGTGTAGTAGGTTAGGGTTTCCTACATGTAACTATATATATGAGTAATATACGTAAGAGATATTATTCTCTCTTTTCTCCAAATATATTTTTCCTATAATTTATACACGTGTACTTAACTTTCTTGTCTTAGATTTATGGGCAACTTACATTTTTCAAATATCTTCAAGTGGAGATATTACAATGATGGTGGAATCCAACACAAGTGAGAAAAGTTTAGGGTTTTGTTTGGAAATTACGTATCTTTTTCGCCTTTTTTTTAATTATTTAATTTATATAATTTTTCACTTTTTTTTTTGTTTAAAATTATTAGTTATTATTAAAAACTCATTAGATGTAAAATTAAACAGCCAATTTTAAAGAATTGGACAATGTACTTTAATGTGTAAAACACAACATAGGGAATTTTCTCCTAATTTTTTTAAGATATGAATTTATTTGACAATTTGAAATTACACATGGAGTTTTGTGCTATTAACTTGATCTTAAAATTATTAATATTAAAAAGGATATGATCATATGATCTTTTAATATAAGTTAAATTACAACCACCCCTTGAGGTATGGTCAAATTACCAAAAAAAATCCCTCATGTTTGGATAATTACAACTACCCCAACTATAAATCTTCTTACACATCCTGTGGTGTCAAATTCAACATAATCTTCTAGACTCCGTGGAATGTTATCTAATTTGTACTCATTTTGTGTAAAAATGAAGTTTTCTGATGCACCACAATCTGATATATACAAGCAAAAAGACACATCTTATGGTCAATTCCTTCTCGTCAAAGCTCGTGACTCACGTGTTGTCCGACGGTGGGCCACTTGGCGGGCCCAGTTTCTCCACTGCCAACGGCGTTTGGGTTGATCAGAGTCTCCGTTTCAAGCCCACTTTCAGAGAAATTAACCCGTACGTTTGTTGTTTCTTTTGAGTTCAGGCTTTTGAATTTTAGTTTTCACATCATATGCAATTTTAGATATGCAAATCTCATTCGGTTACATGTTGTGGGGAGGGGTATTTATGTAATTAGGTGTAATTTCAGTGTGTATACAAATATTATCGGTGTTCTAAAAATCAGTCCAGGCGGCCGATTAATTTGTCTCCGAAGTGGAGGCGGTCTAAAACCTTTATAATTTTAGTGTAAAAGTTTGAAAAATCGTTATTGGTGTGAGGCGGTCTGAGGGAGGTTGAGGCGGTCATTCTTTGGAGGCGGATAAAACTTTGTTCACATAAATTGGGAGAATTACACTTTGTTCACCTCCAAAGTTCAATTTTAAACATTTTTGGTCCTCATGCTTACATATCCGTTTACAAGTAATGGAAAACACTATTTTAGGGACAAAATTGAAATTTTAAATTTTTTTGGGGCTGGTAAATAATTAGAAATTGAAATATACTACTTAGAATTAATTTTTTAATAACAGTAAGCATAGATGAAATTTTTTAGTTAATTTCTTTTTTTATTATGGAAAATTTAATTATAAGTATTAACTAGTATAATTGAAAATATTATTAAGCATAATTAAAAATAATTTGTTTAGTGAATTTTTTTTATTATTAAAAGGTTAATTATAAGTAGTAAATTATAATAAATTAATTATAATTAAAAATAAATTGTTTAATTAATTTATTTTTTATTATTAAAAATTTAATTATAAGTAGTATAATTAAAAATATGCTTTTAGTTAATTTTTTTTTTATTATTAAAAATTTAATAATAAGTAGTATAACTATAATAATATTAAGTATAATTAAAACTAATATTTTTAGTTAATTTCCTTTTTTATTATTAAAACTTTAATTATAAGTAGTATATTTTAAATTTCTAATTATTTACAGCCCCAAAAAAATTAAAATTTCAATTTTGGCCCCAAAATAGTGTTTTCCGTTACTTGCTAGTGGCATATAACGGCGGGAACCAAAAGTGGTCAAAATTGAACCTTGGAAGTTGGAGGTGAACTTTGTTCACTTTGGAACAACATAGACCAAAATTGAAATCGGGCCAAACATGAGGAATCAAAAGTGCAATTCTCCCGCATAAATCGGTCAAAAATCTATTTTTTTTTAATGAAAAAAGTTGGGTTTTTAATACAAAAAAAAAGAAGTTTATACTTTGTTTTATTATATTAATGTTAATTTTTATTTATATAGGACCTAATGATTTATGCTTGCATTGTTAATTTTGGATGCACAAGAATTTCGTTTTGTTTTTACTTTATAAGGATTTTTATTATATTATGATCTTATTATGTGATTATGTGATATAAATGATGGGGATAAAATATGTTTAAATGTGTTTTGAGTATTTACAAATAATACCTAAAATTATGTTACATTAAATTTAAAAATCCGATTAATCGCCGATTAATCGTGAGGCGGTGCCTAACCGACTCTGATCGGATTTCCGCCTTTTACAACCTTGTTGATTATTACATATTTTTTACCTTGATGATTTTCTAATTAGGCTGAGGAAGTGAGGAAAGAGGTGAATGCATGGGCTGAAAAGGAAAAAACATATGGCCTCATCAAAGAAATAGTACTCACATCCGGTTCAGTCGATTCTACGACGAGGCTTATCTTAGCCAATGCAATTTATTTCAAAGGAGTTTGGCAGGAAAAATTTGATGCATCAACAACTAGAGACCGCGATTTTTTCCTCTTAAACGGAAGCTCTACTCAAGCAACCTTCGTGACGAGCTGGAAGAGGCAATACATTCGTGACTTTGACGGTTTTAAATTTCTGAAGCTACCATATAAACAAGGTGACGATCGCGAGCGGAAATTCTCAATGTATTTATTTTTCCCAGATGCCAAAGATGGACTTCCAGCTTTGATGGAAAAAAATTCAGCTCTGAATCTCGATTCATCGAAAACCACATCTCACAAACTCTAGTGGAAGTTGGCGAAAATAGGTTTCGATATTGAGGCTTCGGAAGTTCTCAAGGGACTTGGAGTGGGGCTTCCTTTTCGTATGGGTGGTCCGACGGAGTTGGTGGACTCGGTTATTCGATGGGAAGCTTCTATATGTTTCTAGAATTTTCCACAAGTCGTTCATCGAAGTGAACGAGGGAGGCCATCCTTTTCTAGAGGAAGAGAAGAGAGTTGATTTTGTGGCTGACCATCCTTTTCTGTTTGCTGTGAGAGAAGATATTAGCGGCGCGGTTCTCGTCATTGATCAGCTACTTAATCGGCCGCTGGCTAATTTCTTCAAAAACAAAATGTTCATTGCTTTTTTTATGTCAGTATTTTTTCTTAAATAGTTTTTTTTTCCCTTCAATTTCTACCGACTAATCATTCACATTTACAACTAGTTTTTTTTTCCCCTTGTATCATTCTGTAATTGGATTGTCTGAAGACCGAATTAGGAACTCTTAGTAGTAATTTTCGTATTGATACCTGTTGAGGTGCAAATGTCCCACATTGATTTAATATGGGAAAGATCACTCCTTTATAAGGAGGGGATAACATCTTTATTGATATGAGACCTTTTGGGGAAACCCAAGAGCAAAACCAAATGAGCCAACCCAATTTGAACAATAGCATATCAATGTAGAATTTGTGCTAGCAGAGCTTTGAAAAATATTCTATTATATTGAATCTTTCTAACCAATGGTAGCAGAGCTTTGTGAAGGATCTGTCCCAAGCGGGGGTAGCACAGCTTTTTGAAGGATTCAACATTCGATACTGTGATTAATGCTTTAAAAAACAAATAGCTTGAATTGGGAATCAATCGGGACAAGTCATTTGGTGAGATTATGTAACACCCCACATTTTCATAAGCATATTATAGGGATTTATTGAATAAATTATGGTTTAGTTTATGCACATTTCTATACATACATTACCTTTCATTAATTAATTAGTAAATGCTATGCACCTTAATTTCTTACATGCATTATATGAGATTATGATGAATATAATGCATTATATGAGATTATGATGAATATACATTCATGGATTAATTAGTAATGTCAATGCATTCTAAGTGCACGGTTAAGTGATTTTTATAAATTATGATATTTATGAATTAGGTGTACTTGTTTGATTAAAGGATTTAATAACTTCGATTTCGTAATTAATTTATTCTTATGATTCTGTGACTCTACTCCTATGAATTATGTGAATTATAGTGTTTATAATAATTTCATGTTTGTGTTTATTAGATTCTATAATTTGATTTCTTTCGAATTAAATGATTAATTAAGGTAATATGATTAAATGAATAATATGGTTTAGTTCATGAATTTTATTATGTGAATGAATATAAATGTTTTTGCTAGTGATAACATTAAGAAGATATTTTATATAATAATGAAATAATAATTAAATTATTTTATGTAATTGTATATACACGTGTCTTATGAATATGCTTAGTATGTGGTTATGTGTATGTGGTGTGATGTGCATGAGTGTTCCAAATGTGTGTGTGTTTATGCTGCCATGTGTTTATATGTAGGAATAGATTAGTGTCTTTCATTAATTGCCATTAGCACCCCTGATTTTCCTAAATTGCATATGAGCCCCTCAACTTCCCTATAAATAGCACACTTCCTTTCCAAAATTTCAGCATACAAAGCCCCTCCATCTTCTCTTTTCCTTCGGCAGCCCACACACCTCCCCCTTCTCTTCTCTTCCATCGATCACACCTTTCACATGGAGGAATTTGTTTCCTACTTCAAGCCAAGAGGATCCCACATACTTTCCTACTTCAATTACTCTCCAAAAGATAATATTTATCTCCTTAAATCTCCAGAGAAACAGCCCCTTTACAACCACAAAATCATCCATCCTAAGATTTAAAAGTTACAAGCCCAAGCTTCATCAATCTTTCGATTTCCCTCTCTTCTTCGCCATCGATTCTTCATGGGTAAGGACCTCTTGGTCTTTACTGAAATAATAACCTAATTAATATGAATTATATGTGTCTTAATGAATTATATGTTTGTGGTTTTAATTTTGGGCTTTAGAAGATAAAGTTCTTGTGAACACTAATTGAATTTCAGTTTCGTAGCCTCTGTTTGTATTGCATGTCTCATATGGTAATCCCTAAGATAAAATTATGAAATTTCATGGTAGTCCAGATCTTTCTGTTAGCTTCATGTTGATATAAATTATGCATAAATCGGAGTTATATTGAGTAAGTTATGAACCATTTTCTGAAACTGCATAGTTTCTGAGTCATTTATGAATTATGTGTTTAACATGACTTTATGCTAATTTGACTTGCTTGATTTACTTGTATATGATTATAAACTTGTTAAATGTCTTCTCTGCAAAATTTCACAGTGTTTGGTTAAATGTATGAATTATTTGGTAATTTTAAAGTTGATTTCTCTGTTCTGGAAATTTTACTAATTTTACTGTGTGACTGCACTAAATTAATTATTTCTCTTAAACGGTTAATTCTCTTGCTAAACTGTTTTAGCAAGGTAGAATTTACTTATAGATGATCGGCGTGTGAAATGTTCAGGTGTTTTGGATATAGGTTCTAAGAGATATGAATTTTCAAAGTTGAAATACTAAAACTGTCCAATTTTCTAAAATAAACTATTTTGAACTAGAAAGTATGCTTAGAAGTATGGTTTTAAATTCTTGATCCTTAGTTAATAGAAGAATTAAAATTATATTAAGATAATAAATATGAGAAGTTGAATTTAATTATAGTTATGGTCATGAATTATTCATTTAAGTCATTATGTGTGTTTTGATTGATTTGGTATGTTGGTTTGAGATTCATTATGTGTGTGCCGTATGTGTGTAAGTATTGAAGATTGTTGGGATTACTTGTGGGATTATTGGTCAATTAAACTCGTTAATGTTATATATTATATGCTATATTTCATACTTTATATATATATGTGTTAAATAAACGACTATATATTTATATATATCCTAGCCTGCGTGGTCGTGGGAATAATTCCCGATCCATGGCTTATATATGTGACACCCCCTAGCAATAGTATGGCAAACCGAGATGGTTTGCCATGCACGGAAGCTTTAATTGTATTATATAAGTATTTAGATATATGGGGAGACTCCAAGGTTTAACGAACCGATTGTTCATGATCTAAGACTTAAAGACGAGGTTGGCTTCGGAAGAATTTTCGACGAAGTGATTTAGTGGGATGGAGGAGCATATGTCTAACTACTCGATTAATCCTTAATATGAACTATAAGTGGTGTCACCTTGATAATACATAGTAATAAAAGTTTAGAGTCCATAATTGAAACAACATATTAATCCTACATAAAATGGACCTTACTTAGAGAAATATGTTATACATGGACCATAGGTTAACAAAAAGGGGCCCATCTTCGGAGGAATTAGCCTCCTTTACCACGGATAATAATACACATGAGCTACTACGGAAATAGTAATTATCCTAAGGACAATATACACAAAAGATAGTACTACAAGCATTATAAGTAGATCATCCATACGAGTCAAAAACCCGGAGTCGGCTTCTCGAACCGTCGACTAGTCCAATCCGGTGGAGTGAGTAGCACGAAGACCTGCAAACGGAGAATATCTATATGAGCTAACAAAGCTCAGTAAGGATCTCGAAAGATACCGAGAATTTAAAATATAGTCTTACTACGTATATTATATTGTAGCAATACAAGTGAAACGAAATTAAGTATAAAGCACGTTTCTAGTATTTAAAGTTCGTGAACTTTAGAAACATTTTTCATTTTATCGGATCCGATGAGAAATTAACTTCTTTAGTTAGAAAATAAGAAGATTATTCTGAGCCCGTTTTCGGTGGAATCAAACCACCCAACTGTAGTATCTATGGTTGGAATACCGGCCCCCCGTATCCTTTCTCATCCTTTCTAAGTATTTCATTAATCTCCCCAATTTATTTTACTTAATATCAAAAGTGGCATGGTTGAAGTATTTGGAAATTCCATTTGGGTACATAAAGATACCAATATTCCACAACAACCCACAAGTAATTTGAAACACCACAAGACATCACAAATATCAATCAAGTGACAAACAACCACATTCTACACACAAGGATTTATTATCATCGTATATCAAGTTATGCATTCATGCATGCTTACCCACATATAACCTCAATTCAAAACAAGACTATTAATGACCTACTCATTTCTATATTTTCCTTAAGTTACTTAATCCAAAATTTCTTTGCTAATTAATTTAGGATCAAGAAAACATATCAGCTTGGAAGATCTCGAGTATTCAGCACAATGCCCCTTAATTTCTGGAAATTACAGTTTGACCCCAAAGTTCAAGACTCACACATGCAATTAACCTAAAAATTCGTAATCCATATTTTCATGAAAATCAACCTTTAACTCAACTGAAATTTCGATAAATGCAGAAAAATCCAGTTAGAAGTTATTTTATGCAGAATTTCCGGAAATTACATATTTCACCCTAGCTTCTCTAGATCTATACATGCAAGACCCTTAAAAATTTCCAAAAATCCTTTTTCTTGCAAAAACTTTCAAAAACTGACATTGTCTTTTACTAAATGCTGGAAAACAGTTTTGGAATTCCATTTAAAACTAACTTCTCAAAACAGATTTGACCCAAAAATCTTTCGAATTACACATGCAACCACACTACAATTTCAAAATCCATTTTTTTCATGAAAAAACCCTAAAAATCCGAAAACCTTATTCAATATATGCAGAAAATGAGGTTAAGGACTTAATTTATGCAACAACTTCGAAAATTCTATTTTCCACCCCAAAACCTTTAGATCCATACATGCAAGACCACTAGGAGTTCAAAAATTACTTTTTCTTGTAAAAATTTCACAAATCTGAAATTTTCGTTCAATAATTGCTAGAAAACAATTTTGAAAACTCATATAAAACTGACTTCTCACAAATTACAGATCTGGCCCGAAAATATGCAGATTTACACATGCAACCCCAAAACTTTGCCCAAATTGATTTTCTTCACAATTTTCGAAATAACTAAATTTTCTTTGAAGGTAATTAACTCAAATCCACCATTTATGACATCTGATCATACATGCAATGATATAAATCATATGAACTAACAAAAAGGAACAAGTAAATGCAAGAATCAACATAAAACAAGAAAGAGGGGTGTCTTTTAAATTAATTTCGAAATTATTTTCTTGATATTTGATACCTCCATTTGCAGCAAGGATTTCGATTCCTTACCTCAAAAATAGAAAGAAACAAAAGCTAGTTGGAAAGGAAAGGTTCTTGAGGGCCTCTTCAAGTGTGGAGATTCAACCAAGCTACTTTGATGGAGAAGGACACGGTATAGATTTCAAGGTGAGAGGTGTTTTCACTAGTGAAAGGACACCATGAATTTATAGTATTTTTGGAGTATTCAAGGGCAAGGGTTAGATATGGAATTCTCATCTTTGGCTTGAGAAATATCTTGCTGATTTAGGGGGGGTGGTTCGAGCTTGATGGAGCTGATGACAATGGTGGTTTCGGTGGTTTGAAGAAAGAAGAAGACAAGGAAGAGAGAGGGGGTTGAGGCAGCCGAAATGAGGGAGAGGGAAGGAGACTCTTGGCCTTCTAATAGGCATGCTTGAGATGGAGTGTGGGATTGGCCTTAATAGGGGTTAGGCTAGGCTTAGGATTATCATTTTTTTATAATTATTTAATAATCCTCCCCTAAACACACACATACATATACGGCACACATATACATATATATTATGTATTATGGTGATTATGCTAAGTCCTAGCATGCATGTATAATTCACCCGTAAACACATATGCACATAATGTCACGTATAAAATTCGATATCTACTAATCCGGCACATAATAATTCATGTATAGCCCTATCATTAGAAAATATTTAGTATTTAAGTGGCGTGAGATTTATTGTTTAGAAATTATCGTGTTTCGAAAACGTGGGGTGTTACAATATATGTATACTACTATCTCTATAGCAACCTACGTGGTCGTCGAGTGAAACTCCGATCCATGGTTTATGTAAATATCAAATATACTATTATAAATATATGTGGGGGTTGTGTACAACTATATGTGTGTGTGGATGAACAATAATCTTTACGTGATTTGTGTTTATTGTGCTACACTTGATTGGATATCATTGTCGTGTGTGTTTGTACGGTCGTGTATGTATTTGTGTCATATGTGTGATTTAATTAGTCTGATAATATGTGGTTAATAAATCTTGGTGTTATTTTATTCTGACATATTTGTGGTGTTTGAACTGTAATAGGATTATGGTCTAAGTGTTCATGTCCATGCATAACACGTGTTTTCAAAATTGGAAGATTAATGGAATGTTTGGGTAATAAACAAATCGGATACGGTGGGCCGGTATCCAACTAGGGTTGAGAGGAGTGATACGAGTGATATGAGTGATATTGGATCCATAGACGGGCTCGAAACGATTTATTATCCGAATATAGAAATTAATCTTTCACGGATCCGACAAAATGAAAAATGAATTTTAACATGCATTGAATTCACATGCATTTTGGTTATTTTGCATAATAAAGTGAATTATGTGGGTATAGTGTGCCTTAATGACCTATGTGTAATTATGTGCTTTTGTGACCCATGTTGTCGTATAATACCTGATGTTTGGATTGTCACGTTGGGGTTCTGATAAGGATCCTGTTGCATTGCATTTACATGCGTAAAGTGTTAAATTGATACTAAAGGGACTTTATGTCCGCGAGTAATATGAGGATTTTATATCCGTATAATATGAAAGAGGATTGTCTGTCCGATATACCAAGATTGAGGTAAACTGTATTATATGTTTATATGTAGAGATATATGTTCGACTA